AGATATGATTGGATAAACAGAATGAAATATATTCTATTTCCTTAAAAAGCAGAATGATGTTATTTTATTTTAAAGAAAAGAAACAAAAATAATAAGAACAAAGACTGAAACAAAGCCATTGGTACAGAATTTCAAAACAAAAATAAAAAATTAACAATTGTTATATTATGTATTATTATCAATTATGTTACTCAGATTATCAGATATAGGTATGCAAGATTGATCAAACAACTAAACAGCAACTCTTCCTTTCAATAAATCTTAATTTTGAAAAAAGAGAATGTATTACATGTCTACGGCCATACCACCCTGAACGCGCCCAATCTCATCTGATCTCAGAATGTATTACAAACATATACTAATAAAAAAAATTTAAATCCCATTGAAAAATGCAAAGAGTAGAAAGCCTAAAGGTGTGTGCTGTCTCCAGCTCCCCAGAACCCCTCAGCTCCTTCACCCTGCCCTCTGTTGTGACCCTTACAGGGTTCTCAACAAGTAGTCCAAGGTGCTGGGACAAGCCAAAGATGACCAAGGCCATTTCCACCTGAGAATATCAAAGACAAAAGGAATTTCAATTTATCAACATCCATTTTATTTCACCAAACATTGCGAGAGATTTGAACTGTGCCAGTTGGAGTCACACACCCAGCTGTTATTAATGAGCATCTACAGTGTCTTAGGCACCATCCTAGGTGTTGGAGATTCCATCATGAACAAAATATGCAAAATCTCTACCTCCAGTGACTTTTATATTGTAGTGGAAAACATACAATAACCAGCCAAATAACCAATTATCTAGTAGTGAAAAATGCAATGTCCCCCCCCCCCAAAAAAAAGGGAAAGAAAATGAACCATTACAGAGAGGTGGCAAGGATAGCATTTTTATGTAAGTTTTACGTGAGGTTGGGCTGTGTGCAAAAAGCAAACGTAGGGAGGTGACCAAACTACAGTGAATGTTTAGCTTTTTAAAAATTCATTAGAGTAAAAACCACATTACCATTAAGTCCCGTCAAAGCACTGCCCTGCTCACGGAGTCCACCACTTCCTGCCCTTTTCTAAAGCAGTTCTGGGAGTCCTCTTTCCTAAGCATATTCTACCATGTGTGCCTTGAGGCCCTTCACTGTAATCATTCTTTTCATTTGATTGGGCCAAGTTATGTGGAAAAAAAAAAAAGCCAAGAGGCTTTCCCGGCAGAGGCACAGCAGGTGCAAAGGCCCAGAGCACAAGAATGAGCTGAGCAGAGGAACAGGAAAGAAGCTGGGTGGGGGGACACAGGGAATGCCCGGGAGGAAGGTGGACCAGGAGGTCAGAAGTGGAGAGCACGGGTTATGAAGGGTCGTGGGCCCACGATGTATAATGCTCAAGTGGAGACATTGACAATACCCACTTCCCAGAGTTGTGACTAGTAAATCAATTTTTCCTATAGCACTAACATATAGTAGTGCTATATGTTAATAACTCTGTGTCTATTCTTATTATTCAATATTGAATCCAATTCCTTTTTAATTTTAATTGAATGACCCAGATTAATGTACAAGGTATTGCTTAGACAGCATGTTATCAGGGAAAAAGCATGTGTCCGAGCACAATCTATGCTTTTGTTCTGAGCTCTAGGCTCTGCTTCACAGGATGAGATTTATGCAGGGCTGCGCTTTCAACGAGCTTCTGCAGCCCTTGTCCCCACCATTCCCTCTCCCTCTTCCCCTTAACCTGTTCACATCTCCCTGTAGCTCTGATGCCCTCCCTCCCATTGTCCCTACAGATAAAACTGTGAAGCTATGGAAAGTCAGTGAACGCGATAAGAGACCAGAAGGCTACAATCTAAAAGATGAGGAGGGCCGGCTCCGGGACCCTGCCACCATCACAACCCTGCGGGTAAGTGCGGAGCCACGTGGCTCAGCTATAAGGGCCTCCTAAGGCTGGCTGTGCATGCACTGGCTGCCACTGCAGGTTCCAAGTAGAATGTGCCTGTGGGGCCACTTGGGCGGAGACAGCCTAGCCCAGTCTCTGGTGGCAGATGGAGGTGCGGGAAAGGTGCCAAGCCCTAATGACTACAAATCTACACTTTACGTTTTGTCCCCGAGGACTTGCCACACGGCCGCTACCATACGTTACAATATTCCTAGTCTCTGTCTGTTCACATTATCAAAAATGTCTTGAGCACGGGGAGGAGACTACCTGCCTGGAAAACTTCCCTGTGATTTGTGATTCAGGACAGAAACTTCAGAGTCTTGCGGGCTTAGATTTGAATTTTGCCACTCAGCAGAACCTCACAGTTGCTTAACCTTGATGAACTTTAGTCACGTGGGTTATTTTAAGTTTCTCCGTCTGCAACACAGTGACCTTTATTTCTACCGCCGGTGGACTTCTGAACCTGAAACACCAGGAGGATGGGAAACCTTCCTCTATGGTCTGCACACCCAACATAAGGTCTCTGCTCTGAATGGCTTCCTTCCTGCCTTCCAGAAATGCATATACTGGTCAGGAGGAAGGATTTATATAACTTAATATTCAAATGGTCATAACTCTACACAGATAAGACACATGCACACTCTTTATGCTACAGTTTGACCAAAGGAGAAGAAATCCCACTTGGTTCTGAGAGGCTAGGAAAGGCCTCAGGAAAGTGGTGGTGCAAAAGGTTTCTAAAAGTCAACTTTTAAGGGAAGCCTCTCTGGTTGGAGGTTAAAGTGGCTCAAGGCTGGATAACGATGTCATTTAGCTGTAAATATGTTCACTGTGAATAGTAAAGCAGGCACGTGTTGCAACCAGCCCTAGCCACCAGGGACTTCTACAACTGTGTGAAACATGTGCTTTCAGATACCAGCTGCTCTACCAAGGACCAAACACTGAGGAAGACGTGAAATATATGTGGAGAAAAGGGGCTCTGACTCTGGGATTAAAAGCATAAATGGGAATTAGATCGTTAGTCAATGGCTGATTAGCCTACTTGTTCATTCATTCATTCGTCCATTTATTCATCAAATGCTTTTAAACACAGACTTCGCTGGCTACTTTGGTGCTTGGAAGTTTATCCAGTACCGAGGGGAGCTGAGTCTGTCTTCTGCACTCCCTCAGAGCCTACACCCATCACTGCTCTGTTTCCTCTAGTCAACCTACACTTTCCACCCTGGTGGACTTCCATACAAGTGTTCCCATTAGACTGGGTGCAAGAGGCACACACATTCATCCTGATGCACTAAGTGTGCACAGATTTCGGAGGCCAAGAGCAGAGTAGCAAAGAGTAGGAGCATCCTGTTGATCTGGGCCAGCTGAGAATATGGCTCCATTACTCTCTGGCTGGTCACTGTGGGTTTGCATTGAACCTTTGTGTCTCCAGTGTCTTACCTGAACTTAGCCTGTGTACTGTCTGCCTACATGAAGTGCTCAGTGTTAGTTCCCTGATGTGGTCAAAGTATTAACACCTCTTCTCCCACCGTCCTCACCACCATGGCCCAGCCCCTGCTGAACAGTCATACTCATAGACATACATATATCTATGGAAAGCATATCATTTTATGCTATTGTTTTCAATCTACTCAAAGATATCAAATAAGCAGTGAACAGTGTTCTTGTGGCACAGCAGATAATTAAGACCATCTTTTGCCCAGGGGCATTAACATGGGGGAAAACATGGGCTAGGAGGAGTTAATGTCAAGAACTTCTGTCCAGTTTTCATCTTGTCCTTGTTTGCCATCTAGGTGGAATTTCTCATGTTATGGAGCCATTTGTCCGTGAGGTCCTATGGGACTCCCTGTATCTATGCATAGCCCCTAAAGGAGTTCATCCCTGTGATAAAGAGGAGAGAAAGCCTATCTAAGTTCCCAGTAGGGCAGAGATCTTCCCTATGGAAAGAAAACCATGCTAATGAAGACTTCATAGCAAACACAGAAGGAGGCCCTGAGGTGTGGCTGGGAGATCGAAATGAAACATCCCAGTTCTTGCCCTTGCTTTTTTCATTAACTAGCTGTGTGACACAGGTGAGCAAGTCACATTTCTCCACTCTAAGCTTTGTTTTTAAGTTGCTGAGGAGAGGACTAGCAAGTACATATTCTTGGGGCCCATCCCCACTGCAGTGCTGTTGAGGATTCTGCATTTTCTGTGCTTGACTCTGGTTGTGGCACAGGAGCCTGTGGTCACTGGATTTTCCCATGCCTCACACTCCTGGGATCTGACATTTTCATAAACTCCTGTTGTTTTTTAACCATGTGACAGTTATTGTACCAATTTGGGAGATGTAGTATCCTTAAAATTATTTTACCCATATCTGGTTTTGCGTCCTCTCCCTTCCTAAACTTTCAAATATCCTGCATTTCAATGTAAACACCTACACACCAGCATTTTTTCTTTCTATGCAAATGGTGAAAAGGCCAGCCTTCCTTTCTCTTTGACGGCAGTGGTGGAAAAAGAAAGAAAAACAGGTGTCCCTGAAAACCATAGATTCAGAACACTGACTCCAAAAAGAGAACGAGTTGATGTGATATTAATCAGACTATAATTTACTAACATGCTCTGCTCTTGGAATTTGCATGGCCAGCAAGTGTGTCTTTCTTTTTTTTTTTTTTTTTCTTTTCTTTTTCCTTCTCTCAACTATCATTGCCTCTCACTCACTTTCATAGCACCCGGCTCTAGGCTGGCCTTGAGAATGAGAGCATTTAATAATACCTGACAGCTAATTAATCCACGCTGTAATGAACCTGTTCTCTCTCGGTTCTGAGAGGCTGAGCTTTTCAAAGCAAAAATGTGGCTATTTTTTTTTCACAGAAGATACCCTTTCACATCCAGTCACTTGCCACCCAAAGAGAGCCTGTGAGAAGCACGTCTATGAAAACTGCACCCGCTACTCACTATGGTAACATTCAAAGTAATAATCATGATAATTTAATAATGCCTCCTGGTTGGAAAACACCAGTGACATCATAAAATATTTTCTTATTTATCTTTAGGACAAACAATGAGGAGGGTAGTGCAGGTATTCGGCAGTGAAAATACTGGAATCCAGTGTTTCTAATCTCTGCTCTCTCCCACCCACCATGTGGGTCTCCTCACCTCAGGGGGTATAGTTCATTGCTGGACACCCACTCAGCAGATAATGCTAAGAGATTATGGGAATTGAACTCATGACCTTGCACTTTGCCAGACAGGCGCTTGTACCACTGAGCTATGTCCCTGGCCCCAAATCTTACTTTTGATTTTATTTTTTCCCCTGGTGTGTTTTGATTTATTATTCCAGGGCTAGGAGTAAAAATCAAAAGCTAGGAGTCTCTTAAATCATTTCCTTAATAATTAGTGACACTATACTAGGTCAGAGGAGCCTCTGTCTCCCCAACCCTGGCAACAAACACACATTTATGAACTGAGTTTACAGGCCCCTGACTCCAGCACGGAAAAACAAAGACCTTGGAGCCATTTGCAGTTCCACATAGCAAAATGTCGTGTCCCCTTCTTTCCCTTCCTCCTGATACTCAGGAAAAACAGCCCCTCAGAGCCCTTTCTAGGCAACAGGCTGGTATTCCAGTCACTTTGTCATCCCACGATGGGAGTCTGGTGGCGAGAAATCACACCTAGCCTGCTCCCTGGAGGACGAGCCCAGAGGCATTATTTTCTTTGTTCTGATTGGCTGGTGGTGCCCTGGGAACACAGATGAAGATGAAATTTGATTTTCAACCTGTTATAAATATAGTCTTGAAGGCATGAGTTCTTGAGCTGCCATGTGTCATCACTTGTTTCCCGAAAAAATAAAGATCTAATATGTTCAGCTTTTTGAATGGACTTTAGCCAAATACCCAGTTCCAGCTAACAGAAATAATAATTGCAATAATTATAGCAACAGCCACAGCTTACTGATGGTTTACTGCATTTTAGGTGCTAAATTTTCTTGCCTTTGTCACTGAGTCCTCCTTGTCCTCTCAAGTGAGTTCCCTCTGGTTGTCTGAAGCCATTGTCCTCACTTAACGTCAGTCCTGGCAACAGCCACCTTTTTAGAGAGGCTTACCTAGCACGGTTGGTAGAAAATGGCACACACATCTCTCCCCCACACTGTCCTAACCCTGCCCTTTCCACTGAGCTCTTAACCTGGCCGAAGATACCATTTGTTCTTAGCAGCTGCCTCCTTCCCAAGCAAAACGCAAGCTCCGTGAAAGCAGGGCCAGTGTGGACAGTACGTCGCTTATGGACCACTGAGAACCTACCTACCAGACGCGTGTATCACACAGAGGCACAAACTGAGTTTGAGAGTAAAGAGGGGGTTTGCCCAAAATCTCATGGCTACAAAATGACTGTTGGAATTCTAACCAGGTCCATCTGATCCCAAATCTTATTTTCTACAGCTTTCACTTTCCAGGTAATTGATAACTCATGATGACAGGGCAAATGGATCGCATTGTTCTGGTGTCTCTCAGAACTTGTTATCAAAGCTTTATTAACATATGTGCTTGACTTTTGAGGGGTACAGTGTGAGGAGTTAAAGGCTACTCAGGCTCTGTGCCACGCAGTGGGTATAGGAGGCACTGTTTCTTAGAGAACCAATGAAATGACATCACACGTTCACACAAATGCCTCCTGCCTCTGTCCTCCTCTGAGCTCGGGACATGAACATTCTTGGGAACTGCCTCTTCCTCTTAAGAAGACCATGAGGTTTACAAGTCCCATGAGTAGCAATGTGAACACTTGACAGCCAGTTATTCAGTTACTTTTCTCCCATTGCTGAGACAAAATCCTGACACCCAAAGGAAAAGGGGAAAAGGTATACTTAGCTCACAGTTTATAGATACTTCAGTCCATAATCAGCTGACTCCAAGGCAGACTGGCACATGGCAAAGGGGCAATGCTTATGGCAGTGAGAGATAGCAAAAGCAACAAGAGAGAGATCACGA